TTATTTTATTCTACTTAAAGGATAATTCAATTTTTGCATTATTTTTTACATTATTTGGACTGTTGTCCTCACCTTTATTGCCATATTCACAATGTTTTGGCTGTTATATGCTCCAGCCTTCTTCAGGATCTGTCTATATTTCTGAGATGAAGTATTGTAACTATTTACATTGTTCAGGCTGTTGTCCTCATCTTTATTACCATATTCACAATGTTTCGGCTGTTGTCCTCATCTTTATTACCATATTCACAATGTTTCGGCTGTTGTATGCTCTGGCCTTCTTCAGGATCTGTTTATATTTCTGAGATGAGACTTTTTACATTATTTGGACTGTTGTCCTCATCTTTATCATGTCATTGTCATTTTCACAATGTTTTGGCCATTGTATGCTCCAGCCTTCTTCAGTTGATATACATTGGAATTTCAAACTGGACCTTTTATTTCATCCACGAGGGTAGATTGCTCTCATTCCACATGCCACACCTTTTCTGGATATCTCACTTTCTGTTATTTCCCTTTAGTAACTCAACTCTCCAAATTTTTGTTCACCTTTTGTGGCCAGGTATTGAACTTACAACTCTCTGGGTCAATTCACTGGATTACTTCAACCAATGCTTTTATCCACTGGTCAATCTACCCCAGTACATAAAATAAAATGTTTGGTTTGAAATTCTGACATATATCACCTGTAGAAGGCTGAAGTGTATAATGGCCAAAATGTGAATATGACAATAAAGATGAGGATAATGTCCAAACAATCTCAATAGTGTAAATAGCTACAATACCTCATCTCAGAAATAGACAGATAATGAAGCAAATCAGTTTTGTCCATGTGTGTCAAAATCTCTTCCGGGTATAGGTGATCATGTCTCTTCATAGCTCAAACAGCTGAATTCTATGACTGTTCTAAAGAAAAAAATAGTTGCCTTCAAGATTGTAGATAAGAGATTAGAGAAACAACAATTGCAATAACAGATGCAAGTTTAAAAAAATAATGAAATGTCGAGCATTAGCATATGTATATTTTTGATATCCATGGTTTGGGAACTAGCACTAATTCAACAAGGATATTGAGAGAGGAATGTATTGTATATATTTTTAAAGATTATGTCTGGGTGTCTGAATTTATCACAAAACTAGCCTAGGTACCCGGCATTACCCGGGTGCACATGGATGCAATTTTAAAACCGCATCCCCCTGCATACCCTCAACCCACTGTCTAGAAATGTCTGCCTGTGTCCCAGCTTGTATGCATCGTCTGTTGGTAGACTAAGCTACTCTGACCCAATCTTTTCTTAAAGTTTTTCAAGTAGTTAGTTTTCCGATCCTTTTCAGGTTACCTCTTCATTTTTGTAACTAGTTAAAGATGATGTGCTTTCAACATTTTCTGTCTGAACTTTACTATGATCTACTATGAAACTAATGAAACTTAAACTTCAGGCACCCTAATCTAAGAGGGGGTTCCTGAAGTAACTTTTTTTTTTCTTTTAGTGTTTATTATTAAAATAAGGACATTTTAGTAATAGAATCCTAAGCCAATGGATTGAAGTAGCTATTGTTGCCATTAGAATAAGCTTTAATAACCATTTCATATGGCTATAAAATTACCCTGTAATTGTTTAAATTTAAAAAATTTTCTTGGCACTTGCAGTGCACAAAACCTCAGCTGTATGGACTCATCGTGCTCACCAGAATCTATTCATAGCATATATTTTGGCAGTTGAATCCTCAAATGTATGGTTGCTGGTTGCAAAAGGACCCCCATATCTGTGTAGTGTTTCAGCTCAGACCAGAAACCAGGTTTGTTCTCAGGGTGCAGCTTCTAACAGTCAAAACCTTGTGGCCTAAAAATAAACCTTTGGCCAGATTGTTACCTATGAATTAAGATCATGAGAATTTGAATGCCATCTCCACGAGATATGAGGTAGGAAAGGAACAGAAATTTGATCTTTGACCACAAGTTTCAATACCTGTTAGCAATAATCTTGTGTATCTTCATGACTTGCTAATATTGTTTGTATACCATTTTAGCAATGAATACATGGTATTAACAGAGAAATGGTCAGTTAGCATTGATTTCATGGCTAGTACCACCATCACTACAAAATGTAATGGATTTCAAGTGACCAGCAAAGCTCAATATCCACCTAATGCCAAAAAAAGGTGTTAATTGCCCACCACAGCCATTCAAACACTCATTAACGTGCACTAACACTCAGGCTGCCAACCACCAATATAATGTATTTTGTCTATATCTCTGAGATGAGATATTATAATTACTTGCATTATTTACATTATTTGGACTGTTTGATTGCCCAGTGAATAAAACTTGGAGAGTTGAATTAAAGGGAGACATCCGGAAGAGGCATGTCATGTGGAACTAGAACAATCTCTCCCGGCAGATAAAATAAAGGGTTCAGTTCGAAATTCCAATCACCTGGAGAAGGTTGGAGCATACAACGACCAAGACGTTGTGAATATGGCAATGAAGATGAGGATAATAGTCCAAATAATGTAAATAATGCAAGTAATAATGTATTTTATTTTATTTTGAATTTTGAACATTTCTTTGATTTGAATAAAATCAGGCTTTTAGCTTCACCTTCTGTACTTTTCCCAGCTGATGTTTGCCAGTTTCTTGTCAAGTAACTTTTTTTCTGCTATGGATTGTCTTCATGATAAATTGACTGGCAACTGAGCAGATGCCATTTCACATAGTGGAATGATTTGTCATTGGAGTCAATATTCTGATCTGACAGTTATGGAGAAAAGACTGTATTTATTCTTTATGTCTCAGTTCACATCATTGGATGTTTTAAAACTTGCCCGTTCTTATCACCATCCAAAAATACTTCACCTCTCTTGTTGCACTCTGCTTTTTGCCATGGGTTAATGCTACTTTATTTTGTTTCTTTGTTTAGCTATCGGCGACGTTTAAAGAAAGAAAGATTAGAGAAAGAAAAAAGTAACATTCATGAATTGGCTGAGAAAGATCCAGAAAAGTTTGAGGAGAAAATGAAAATGGTTGACAAGTCAAGAGTGAAGGTCAGACTTTTGGCAGATATTTTTTTTTCTTCAAACACAAAAAGTTTTATCTATTTGGTAATGTAATTTATTTTATTTAATTTCTTTGCTTGCGTATATAATGAATAGTAATGAATGCTCAATATTTGTGCCCTTATGCCATACTAAGCTAAGTAAATGTGTTTTGTAATGGACTGTGAAACTAGCTCACTAATCATTGCTCCATGGAAAGGCATGCAAACTTAGGATTTAATTGAAATTAGCTTCTTTTATTACATAACTAGCAGTAGAGCCTGGCATTGCCCGGGGATGTAACAGTAAGAGATAGACCAGGTATCGACCATCATAAAGACTGAAAAATAAAATTGACAAAGATTATTGTTTAAGGTTGACGGACACGCATGTCTTAATTAGTTTTTTTTTTTTTTTTTTTTACGAATTGGTCAAACCCAAATTCAAACAAAAACATTGTTTACAATCGTTATGAGTCTATCAATTGGTGAATAGAATTTTATTATAAACAATTGTCTTGTAAATGGAATTTTTAAAGCATTCTGAATGTAAATAAAGAAAAAAGTGTGCAAGACAATAAGAAATACTACCTGCCGAAAAAAAAAAAAGTGGATGTTTGTTTTATCGGCTGAAAAATGTAAGAAATCCGATCCCATATTTAAAGGAACACACACACACACACACACACACACATAAACAACCTGGTTTTTTTTAAGTCACTCCACGGAATCGCTAAAACATAGAGCATAGTCTGATGAAAAAAGACGCATAAAGTTTATGAAAACAAAATTTTATCGTCAAAATGCTTATGTTTTTTATGAATAGGATAGACTAAATTTTTTTTAATTATTTTTTAAAATTTTTCCATCTTTTTAGAATATTCTAAATTTTGATTTAAAAAACCTTGTTTCTCTTTTGTCGCAACAAGGGGTAGTAAATAGATAATTTTTAGCACGTTTTTTTGTATTTACACACATTAATTTGGAAAATCTTGCAAAAATAAAACTGCCAGATGTTAATGAAACTTTCAGAAACTATTCACAGATGATCGAAATTATTATAAATGTTTTTTTTTATTCAAGTCATAGCAGAAATATTTCTTTTATATTTATTAACACCCCCCATAACTAATTTTATGAAAAACTCTAGAAATTCGAGACCATCGGTTTTAGTGATTACAATAGTTAAAAGCACAACGCTTTAGAAGAATGCAAATCATGTTTTTTTTTTTGTTTTGTTTTTTTTACAACGTACCTGAAAATCAGATGTGAATTGTAACATAGAAAATTCAATAAAACAAATATATTATTTAGTTTCAAATGCTTTTATTTGTTTTAATTTGTTTTTTATGAATATGGACAATATTTTCTGAAAGCAAAAATTTTTTCAATGAAAATTGAATTTTTAATACAATTATTTCTTATTTCTTTAATTTTAAAAGATTTTTAAAAATGTTTAATTTGAATTTTAAAAAATATTTTAACATTAGTTAAAAGCAACATCAACCTTTCAAAATGTCCGTGTGAGATTGTCATTGTCTAGCACTTTGAAAATTGTATAATTTGGACCAATCAGATTAGCCATGGTAATTAAGAAATGTAATTTTTGTGTTTATAGTCGGACAGTAATTATCAAGTACAGAAGACCAACCAGAATACAATTTAGTTGCATTATTTGAGTTCAGCATTGTTCTCCGCTGTTAAGCCCTTTACTTTTTGCATGAAACACACGATGGAGAAGTTAATTTGAGTTTTCAATTTCAACTGAGAAGGGTAACTACAAGTAACAGTATCATCTTAGGAAATTTAACTAATGCTAAACTTTAATTTATATGATCTTATTTTTATATTAATCTCAGTTATGACATTTTTCCATAAATGAAATATCAAAATTAATAATAAAATGAATGGAAATACAAATAACACAGTAAAATGTAATAAATGTACATAAAATTATAGTATTTT